AGTATCGGTCGAAAAAGTAGGGATTTCAAGCTTTAAAGAGCTTTTTTAAACATCTCGCTACGATGAATTTTCACTGAGTTATTGCTATTTGAAAATATTAAAAATTAGTGCTAAATTTTAAGTGGCCCGTTTTTTTTGCGTATGAGTGTACATACACGATAGGATGGCCCTTAATTTATTGATTTTTGCTATTTCATTGGGACACCCATAAAAAAATGCATAGTTTAATACAGAAATAAATTTAGAATTTTTTCAGATTTTGAGCCCTTCGTGGCACAGGTTAGCGTTGATTAAAAAATCTGAAAAAATTCTAAATTTATTTCTATATTAAACTATGCATTTTTTATGGGTGTCTCGATGAAATGGGAAAAATCAATAAAATAAGGGCCACCATAATACACGACTACCATATTGATATTGACAATAGTTTACCTGAAATGTAAATGATGAATCCAGCCACTTCCTATTTTTTTTTAGAAATGTGTCGATCTTTCGGTGCGATTCATTGAATCTAGATTTCATATTGCATAGCAGTTTTTTAACATCTCCTAACCATGTAGCAGAAATTATAAATTTCATTTTTTTTTTCTTGGAAATTTCTGCTTCTAGAGTTGAAATTTGCACGGAGAGTTCTTCATGCAGAACCGTTTTTATCATTTCATATATCTCCCGCTTTTTGCATTCGAAATCGCCAGAGTCTGCAAAAAAGTTCAAAAACAGTAAGAACTACATTTTGTAAAGACAAATACATTGGTTATTCATTTGGTTGAGAACCACTGAAATTGTTCGAGGAAATAGGGATATTGAAAGATCGAAGCACATGGTCATCACTGTTACAAGGACTGAACACGACTTCGACACATTACATACATTTATTACGTATATTTACATATAACTGATAGGCCTTCTGTTTAAACACTTTTACTAAAATGCTTGTAGAATTCGATTCCAAGAAAATCGCAAGTTCATACTTGGTACTTTGTTTCAGTATTTGTTTATCTACAACTTAACGTTTAGTATTTTCCCGGATCTCCCCGGATGATAACTTTTTTTAATATTTATCAACTAATTTGAGGTTAGACTTTGGCGGCACTTTTCACAGTTATTAAAATTGAAATTAATTTATATTATCGTATAATTATATTGTACATACCTTCATTAGAAGATTCCATAGTGAAAATTACTGGAATGTAACAAGCGTAGCACACAATGCTTCCCGTATGTCGCACGACCCGTAACGCACTTCCGAAAGTGGCAACTTCGACTGAGCAGGTATAAACAGGTTTATCACTAACGACCCTCGGCTCTTCGGAATCTCATACAGTACACCCTCCTATATGATTTACCATAGTACTACAGCCGTTTCTATGACTTTCACTTTTATAACTTTTGACCAGCGTTTCGGGTGCGCTGTGCCTTTGGACTATTATTTCGTCTGCGCAGATGCTCGACGCTCGACGCTGCATGTAATAGCACCTTAATGCACCTTTAGCACAGCCAAGCACAGCTTAGCAGACAGCGGACAACGGCGACAAGTGATATGAGACTGAATGATTCTTCACGAAAAGCATAGATTTAACAGTGTGACGCTCTAGATCTGTAACATTTGCTTCGTATAAAAGCTGTGTAATCTGTACTTACGAAATAATAGTCCACAGTGTTGTGTCAATAGCCGGGCACAACTTGTTCAGGATCCGCGGGGACGTCGGGATCGGATCGATAATGATTCACATATTATTTTGTTGTATAAAGAAATGCTAATTCTTTATTAAATAGAATTCACCAAACTTTCGTCTACAATTAAGTTAAATCAGTTTTGAAATTTTTTTACATTCTCGGAATAACTCCACCTCATAGCACGTATTAATGTGTATACAATTTTCGAAAAGGATTTTCGAATCTTTAAAAGAGAAAAAAAGTAATTGTTTTACACAAAAATTATATGATTATAATTTATTTATTATTTATTATTATAATTTATGTATTATAATTATTATTAATCGACAATATAAGCTTATATTGTGACTAAAATCCCCTTAAATTGGCTGAACTTTCGAAAATCATACATGCCTGATTACCATGAGTTGTGGCAGAAATACTTCACATGATTTTACGTGAATTGATCTATGTCCTTCAAAGGATTTTCACCGGAAGAGAAGTTTAATGTCAAAAATGTTTAAATAATGTTAAATATTGCTGGAGTGAAATTCCGTAAACAATATCTCCCTTTTGCCTAGGGGCTTTCCACGCGAAGCGCGATATATAACTCTATTTAAACAATTCGTTAATAAATCAAACTAATCAAGACTCCTTACAAATCAAAAAATTGGAAAGAGTAAGGGCACTAGGAGTCCCTTACTCTTTCCAATTCTTCTTTAAACATTTTTGGCTTTAAACTTTTTTCCGGCGAAAATCCATTTATTTCATTTGGCGTCATTTGCAGTATTTCTGCCAAAACTACGATAACGGATGTGAGTCATTATAGTATTCCTTCCTTCCTCATCATAAACTTGGAACAATATTCTTTCAATTCCTGAAAATCGCAACGGTATAAATAAGTGTAAAATAAAGATATATTTTTTATATAATTAATGCATGGAAAGAATAATTTTGCTGATGTATCAAAAAATTTTGCTAAATATAGATCTAAAAAATAATATTGTATAATAATGTTATTGTATCATTAAAATTAACTATCAATTTCAAGCATGAGCAATGCTGCAAGAAGTTTTGACATTCTAACTATCGGTTTGAGCATACTATATAATTATGTTGATTCGATAATATCATTTTCAGATCTGTATCTAGATAATGTTTTACATATTTTAGCAAAACCATTCTTTCCATATAAATTCTAGCATTTTAAAACTATAGTATTGAAACTGGATAGATTAATAACACAACAGAAACGACTTATGAGTTCGATTCATAGTTCTGTTACTTTATATATAATATACAATTATAACATTTTAGAAATGTATAACACAAAAGTAGTCTACTGTGATAAAAACAAGAATAAAGAAAAATGTAAAAAAACGTAAAAAAAAAGAACTCCAATGGGTCAATATATTGATCTCATCATAAATAAAGTACTTTGGAAAAGAAACAATAGAAAAAAAAGAAACAAAAATTATAAACAATTACCTCATTATTGCATTTCATCGCAGTTTCAATAACAGAGGATACGTTTGATACCGTCATCTTTTTTTTTATCCCCCGAATGCAATCTCTCTCAAGACTTTTCATGCAGCACTTGCCAGATAATTCCAGGAGCTCTACAACGAAACATTCGTTTTAATTACGAATTAAAGATAGTACTAATATATATTTAATTAAAACTCACCTAATTCGTTTTTGAAACAAGATAGATCGATTACACCGGTGTATAAATATTTTAAAAAAGTTCTATACGCAATATACGAATAATCATCATACTTGATAACCCTGTTCCAAAACATATGTTACAGTGCAACAAATGAATCGAACGTAAATTTTTAATAAAAATGCACTAATTATTTTATAAATAATTACCTTTGTTTATTTTCAAGTCCACTAAAATGGAACATGTTTGCGAAATATGATGAACGGATTTTCAAAATACTCTTGTGAACATAGATAGATTTCTTTTCAACTTCTATTGTAAGATCGCTCGTTGACTTTAGCGAAATATGATGAACGGATTTTCAAAATACTCTTGTGAACATAGATTTCTTTTCAACTTCTATTGTAAGATCGCTCGTTGACTTTAAACATGAGAAATAAGAATTGTTCAAAAAATAAATATATATAACAAGTATAATACAAGAAGAAAAAGATTATTAGCATATAAAAGACATGCTGAAAATCTATAGAATAAAGAGGATAAAGAGGAAGATGGGAGCAAGTACTTTTAACGTATGAAAATGTTTAACAAACAGCTTGCTTGCGACACCTGGTCTCCAATTAATTGGAAATCTATTAAAATAGATTAACGCGTTAGCATAGAGAATGGAACTTACACTATCGTTAAACGCCGCGTCTAAATCGCTTAATATCATAGATTCTTCATCTGTAACTTCATAAGTAATGGATATCGGTGATTGTGCCGTCGTCAAATTGCATATGTCAAATATATTTGTGTATTCGCAGATGGCTAATTCCTTAATTTTCTTCCCAAACAGCTCACCCCATATGTAGACAAGTTGATCTTCGCTACATTTTATAGCATTCGCACCATCTATCGTAGCGATATCTGATGCTTTAATCATTTTGGGTACTTTAATCTGTCGATCGTAAAATTCTCTAGTTTATTATATGTTTTTCTGTTTCCATCATCATGAAATTTACAATTAATTAAATCATTCACCGTAACAGGCAGGCAAATTGCTTCATTGTCCACAAAAGGAAAGCAAATTTCTTCTTCGTCTTCAGTAATTTCGTAGTACTTAACTGTTGGTATTGATTTCCAGATGGAACAACAAGTCTGGCGTTTCCAGGCATAGATTTTCCCTTTGTCGGTGAGTACAAGGGTATGCCAATTTCCACAGACAACTTTAACTAAAATATCAAAATTGGATAAATTTGATTATTCAACAGTGTTACATTCAGAAATTCCCTCACCATCTATATCCATCTTCACCTCTTTACAAATAAGCTTTGAAAAAAAAACTTACCAACTGTTTGGGTTGAAAGTTGATTTATTTTAAGTGGCTTGGTCAAAAAAAATTTTTTCTTTTTGTAGTGATCGTTAGTATGACAATAACTCCATTCATATACTTCACCGTTATTGGTAAGAATCACACAATAATGTTCTCCGCAAGCGATGGAAGCGATTTTTACTTTAATATCAATGTGCCTGTTAAACTTGTAAAACACATCCGTCCACACAGAATAAAATTTTCCTACGTAGTATAGCTAAATTAAATAACCAAAATATGTTTAAATAAAATTCGTAAGGTCAATAATTAATTATTGTTGTAATAATAATAATAATAAATTATTATCATAAACATAATATTTACGATAATTTAGTCATAATTTTACCTCTCCGTCATCAGTTAAAATAACGCAATTTGAGGGATGAACTGCGACTTTTACAACGTGTGTGTTTGTCCAGTCAATGCTATCAGACCATTGATGGACATCAGTATATATGTTATTCCGGGAACAGATAGTATCTAATTAAAATGTTAAAAGTTAAAAAAAAGGTAAAAAAGTTAGTAACTTTTGACTTAAGTTAGTTAATTTTAAATGCATTAATTTTTAACTTAATTTAGTGTTATTTTTAAACTTTAATTTATATATTAACTTTTTTTAAATAAAAAATTTTTGTACCTTTTTTAATGCTAATATTTTTTTTCTGTAAAGTCAAACATTAGAGAATTAATTTGGAAAAAGTTCAATGATTTTATGATGAGAGATCTATAATAAGTCATACCATATGGTAGCCAGTTTTTATTGACTCGCTAAGTTTTGTCAAGTTCCCGCTTATATTTAAATCACACTAATTTTAGGTATCGTAAACGTTATATTTTAGCAACATATGAAATGAACCTTAGATGAAGAATTGTTATAGAACAGTACTCATATCTTTAACTTAATTTAGTTTAAAAAAGATATTAACTTACCCAACTTTGCGTTTTTCTCCTCGTTAGTTTGTTTCCACCAAAATTTCTATTATACAATATCACAGATTTTATTCAATTGTCGTTTAATATATATTATGCATAATATATATTTATTTCGTGCAGTACTTATTTCTATTGCATCATGTAAGGTATATGTTATAAAATAAATTAATGTAGTGTAAAAGCAAGTAAAAAAATTAATAACATATTGAGTAATGCACTGCTATATTATTCAATTCAGTGAATATACAAAATATCTGTCAATTCTATCAATTTGTTAAGCTTTTAATAAATATAAAAAATGTAAAAATATGAGACATGTCATGCATTTACGTTATGAAATATTACGCAAATAATCTTACGAGATATTTAAGTATGACATGACAATATTATGTTGTTATACTTTTATATCTATTAAACATATATAAATCAGATATTGTGTACATAGTTTATTTTCAACATAATTCCCATACAATACGAATTATTTCAGCAAATAATCAATAACGATAGGTCTCAGCAATACGCAATATTAACATTGTTGCCGTTTTCTTGGAATAATTTGTACTAATTTAGATTACCCTAAAGTGCCTTAAATATAAAACAATATCCTAATCTACGCTATTTTTTCAATGTTTATAAAAACAATTTATCTTAAAATTTTAACAAGACTATTCTTTTTACATTTATATATTTTATTTATTACAAGATAAACAATCTTTTTACCTTCATTTATATTTCAACTTCTAAACATAAAAATATTTAAAATGTATTAAATAAAAGATCCTTAGACAATTTTTACAAATGCCAAATATTTTTATCATAATATAAACATTTAATTTACCTGTCCATCTTCAGTGAGCAAAAAAATACTGTAACAATATGCCCAAATGTCACAAACGAGAAACTTTATCTTTTTACTGAACATCAAATCTACTTCTCGGTACTTATAACACTTTGCAGTAGTCCTAAAAATAGTCGCATAATCATAAGTGTGATGTGAGTTTGCAATAAAAATAATTGCAATGATATCAAGTATACTACAGAAAAATGCACTGATATAGAAAATAATGAATTAATAAAATAAATTAATATATAAAATTTATAGCCGTTGCTTCATTTTGGTGAAAACAACAGGTAAAGATTATCCGAATGTCGATTTATCTAGAATGTTTATTTAACCTGTATAAGTCATATTAAATAATTATGGCTGAGAGATTTTTCGTTTTATATGTATAAAACGAATCATTTTTCTCACACTGAATCAAAAATGTACGTAAATACAATAAAAGTATTCATTGGTATTAATAAAAAATTCATTAAAATTGGTCCAATGAACAATTTTATTCCTATAATGATTTAGGTTTTATAAAATGATCAATTTGAGTTATTAAACTATTAAGAATTTATTGTGACAACGAATATATACATTAAAATAGTCTGCCATGGATTTATTATAATAACCAAAAACTTTATTCATTCACAATGAATAATGATTCATTAAATCATGCATTAAACTTTATTGTTATTAATGCGTTTATTGAGCTAATGTACAGACTTTATTAACTAATAAAAAAATGCGTTAATATAATGAATGTATTTTATCACTTCTACAAAATTTTATAATAGACATCTAATAAATGAATTTATTAAGTATATGAACATATTTGTTGGAAGAATGAACTTTTTCATTGATTTAATTAAATGTTATATTAGTTATGATATATATATATATATATTCAAGTACAGCATATTAATAAACAGTGATTTGTTATATTAATAAATCCAGTTATTAGCTAATAAAAAATACTCAATAAAATATTCATAATATCTATTAAAAGTTCATTATATCAATGAATTTAAAGTCAGTAAATGTCATTCATTGATATTATGAATAACATTTTTTTCAGTGCACAGATGAAATATATAATTAAAGATCTATTATTTTACAGACATCGTGTAAACTATCCAAAATCATGAAAAATTATTTGTATGACTGTTAAAATTTACACGGTTAACTTGCAATACAATAATAATAATTTTATAGTTTATTATTATTTTTATGTTTTTCGTAAATATATGTTTCGTAAATATATGTGTAATTCTTAATTGTGAAATCGCATTAATACTTTAATCTTCATCACACGAATCTAATATTTCCATTAAATAATATGGGACGGCATTTTTATTTGCACTAGAACACGTTTTTTATTTTGTCTGCTGCACGCTTGCACTCGTCAGTTCTGGATTGCATTAGTTCAGTTCAGTGTTCTAGCAAGATTATGGGCCTGAGTACAATAGAGGAACAGGAATTAGATATTAAGATTTCAACCTATCAGAAACTAATTACATCGGAATACACGGTTTCTGATAGGTTGAAATCTTAATATCTAATTCCTGTTCCTCTATTGTGTTCAGACTCAGGGTACGGTTAACGCGATGTTACAAACGCTTTGAAATGTTTTTTAATTGGTCAGTTTGTAAAATTCTTTCTAATTGGTCCATCAAATGCTTCAAAGCATTTGTAGCGAGACTTTGACCACAGCCTCATGTAGGAGCAGAAAACCTTACACGCGCTTTTTTACCGCTTTGTAGACACTGACCTCTGTTACACGGCACGCTTTACGCCTAATAGCATTTTCGGCCCGGCAAAGTTTGCACCAACCTGGGTTGGATTAATGGCGCTTTGTGCTCTCCTATTGATAAAGCGGGTGACGTCAACCAATAGGAAAGATTAATCCAACCCAGGATGGTGCAAACCCGATCGGGCCGAAAACGCTATAAGTTATAACATCGATGTTATGAAACTGGCCAATCATAGTTATTCCTCTGAAGAATAGAATTCTTCTTCTTCCTTCTTCCTCGAAATTAATGGCACGCGCCGCAGAAATGGCGACGATTCCGGCCAAAAACGTAAATAAATAGTTTAGTCGAGATAATGATGTAATCAAGACAAATGATATAACACAATGCATAAATAGCTTAATCGAAATAATAATGTAGTCAAGACAAATAGTGTAACACAATGCACAGTCGAAGCCGGAAACGCTTTTCAAAAAATAAATGAGATGATGCAATACCCGAAGGAGTCTCGTTTGCTTGCTCGAGTGGGGCGGACGCTCGTCTGCCCTGCTTCGGGTGTTGCATCATTTCATTAAATTTTTTGAAAAGCGATTCCGGCTTTAACTGTGATTAGTAAGTATGGCCATGTTCACCTCGTTGTCGAGGGCCTGGGCCAATTAAATTAAGAAGAAGAAGAAGCAATACCCGAAGCGGGCGCGGCACACGTCCGTCCCGCTCGAGTAGTCTCACAAGACTTTTTGAAGAATGGAATGACTGTGATTGGGCAGTTACATAACATCGATGTTATAACTTCGGCGGAAGGGGCTCCGCACAATAAAAGGAACAGAGAACAGAGAATAAGAATTTCAACCTATATCAGAAATCATTGTGGAATACATAGTGTGTATGGTTGAAATTCTTATTCTCTGTTCTCTATTCTCTGTTCCTTTTATTGTGCGGAGCCCCTAAAGCCCGTATCAGACTACCGACTCTGCAAGCCGACCCGACTGTCAAGTCTGACTGCCGACCAATAATGGACCAATCACAATAAGACTGATTCAATGTGATTGGTCCATTATAAGGGTCCGCGCACAAAGATGATCGCAACTGAGTCGTAGTAGTAAGTCGTTGTCGTAGGTCAACGCACAAGGATTTTACGTATGTCGTTTACGTATATCCTATTGCGCCAGTTGTTTGCGTCAACTGACGCAATAGGATATACGTAAACGACATACGTAAAATCCTTGTGCGTTGACCTATGACAACGACTTACGACTACGACTCAGTTGCGACCATCTTTGTGCGCGGACCCTTAGTCGGCAGTCAAAGTTGGCAGTCGGGTTGGCTCGCAGAGTCGGTAGTCTGATACGGGCTTTAAGCGTGCCGTGTAAACGTAGTAACTATTGTGCTAGGTTTTCTGCTCCTACATAAGGATTACACTAGAACTTGCTAAAACACTGAAGATTGAACTAGAACTGACGAATGCAAGCGTGCAGCAGGTAAAAAATAAAATACGTGTTTGTATTACTGTTAAAATTTACACGATTAACTTGCAATATAATAATAATAATTTTACAGTTTATTATTATTTTTATGTTTCGTAAATAGATGTTTAATTCTTAATTGTAAAATTGCATTAATACTTTAATTTTCATCACACAAATCTAATATTTCCATGTAAATAATATGGGACGGCATTTTTATTTGCACTAAAACACGTTTTTTATCTTGTCTGATGCACGTTTGCACTCGTCAGTTCTGGATTGCATTACTTGCATTTAGTGCAAATGCGCTGATGCTATTGATTTCGAGTTCCCTGAATGCAGCCTTAGTTGAATTTCTTGTAGGTACAGTATTATATCCTTTTTTTTAACGTGAAAAAAAGAGAGGAAAGATGAAATATGCAAGAAGTTCAGCTGAAAGAACAGAAGTAATGTAGTAATGTATGTAAGCGCTTTTTAAACGCTTTGTTAACTTTATTAGGCGTTATGTGCTACTTGGACGAAATACCAATGTATTTATGTTATAAGGGTTAATAAACTACGAATACGAATGTTTAAAAACGATTTTTGTCAAAAATAACGTACTAAACGCGGGTAATCTAATTCTAAATGATTAATTCGTCCATGCATCATTATTCCGAACTTACTTTTAGTTGCAATCTATTTCTATAATAATTTAGAGAAAAGAAAAACTATGAACTTACTGTTGGTTGTTAAAAGGTAATTTTTTCCACTCAACGGGCAACATTTTATAATCAGACTCGCTTCAGCTTCAAACAAAATGCAGTACAATTCGGGCGACACCACGTATTCACGTATACTGTGTAGGCTGCGGTCCATTTGACGCTACAAACGCTTCAAAGCGTTTTTGATTAGTCAATTTGTAAAATTCTTTGTTCTGATTGGTTGCTCAAACGCTTCGAAGCGTTTGTAGCGTCAAGTGGACCGCAGCCGTAGAATCTTCTTCGGTCTAAAGCAGCCCCCACTCTGCCCACTGCGCCCCACTGCACATCGTTAGTTCGCGTAATGTCCGCGTGGCGCTAGTGAGCTAGATGCTTGAGGTGCCTTTTTATGCGCAGCATGCTGCGACAGCAAAACGTCACGTGACGCAAATTTATTTTACATGAGATGACGCACTTCCAGCGCAAAATACATTTTGCCGCAGTTCGTTAAAGTTGAACCGAACGAACAGCAAAGAGCAAGCTGCAAAATCAAGGAAGCGTGCAATACGTCGTGAAGCTTGTAAAAATTTTATTCATTGCAATGAATATTTATATTATGCCAGTTGTTTGTTATGCCATTATATTATCTTGTTTAAATTCAACTTATTGCGCAGAAGTTCGAATCTCCAGACTCGGGAGATTCAAACTTTTGCGCAATAATCTGCGCAAATGCTCGACGCTCGACGCTCGCATGCAATGGCACCTTAATGCACCTTTAGCACAGCCAAGCACAGCTTAGCAGACAGCAAACAGCGGACAACGGTGACAAGTGATATGGATTTGATTGAACGATGTCTTGTTTTCTTCGTTTGCCTGGCGGGTCTCATCGCCGGCTCTATCACCCAAGATATCTTGGGATGCGGTGGCTTCCTGAAAAGTCATACCGACATCGATTTCAGGAAGGTGCACGTAAAACTGTGAGTATTTAACTGGGTGAGAGGTTACCTGATTGCTATATCAGCTACATCCTAAAAAATGCTTACTGAATGTCAGAATTTTATGAGATAAATTTATCAGGTATACGAAGACTGGTAGTCTAAAGGATCATACCGAAGGCGCGCCTAACACTGGTTACTATTTTCTACCTCTGTACGATAAAGGCGAATATGTTTTAAAGGTGAGCTGGAAAGATGCACCATCAT